GGGGGGGGGAGGGGCGCTGCGGCTGAGGCGCGCTTTCGCGGGCTTAGGGGCGACACTGGTGAGAAAATGGCGCCAAGTGGAGAGCGCGAGAGGCGTCACGTGACTCCTCCGGGCCCGGCGCGAGCTGTTCCTGGAGCGTTCGCTTCAGGTCACGTGCTCCCCCCTTCTCCGCCCCTGGCCTTGGGGTCTCGAGCCCCGTCCCATGGCAGTGGGGGAGCCCCGCACGGGCTCCTCCCCCCCCTTCGTGCCCATGGCACCTGCTGGCTTAGGCCGCGGGTCCCGTGTTCGAGTCCCCGCCCGCAGTCAGAGGATGGGTGCCCAAGGCGTCGTGCAGACCTTAACTACCACGAGGCCGGGCGGTGGGAGCAGGGAGCGCGACACGTGGCTGTTCTATGGTGGGAGTGTTGTGGCACCACCGACTAAAGCCATCCATGGCTGCCCTTCTCCACTTCCTTAAAACGGAGATCCTGTCATTGCTCTGATCACGCGGGGGCAAGGGGAGGGTTGGGTGAGAAGGGAGAGTGGGGGGGGGGGGTGCGTTCTAGAAAGCACTGGCACACGTTTTCCTCTTTCACCAGTGCCTGGGAATTTTTGGTATTTCACTTTCATTTGGTCCCACTTGTATTGCATGCAAGGTTCTAGTGACAGCGTTTTGCTCTCTGGTGTGTTTTTAATGCCCAAGACCAACAGTGCTCTGTAAATAAATTGTGGCTTTATATCTTTTTCCAATAGGCTATTGAGGATGAAGGGGGAAATCCTGATGAAATTCCAATGGTGTCAGAGATAACTATCAAGAAAACACCAAAGAGAAGCAGCAAAGGTACAAGGGAGTTGAGAGAGGATCTTTTTTTCTTGGATCTTGCACCTACAAAACAGAATTTAGCTTCCCTTCCTTCTTTTCTTTCCCTGCTTTCCCTCTGAAAAGTAGTTGTGTCTTAATTTTGGCAGTGTGCGTGAATTTATAGAGCTGAATTTGTGATTAATAGTATTTGGTTGAGTCAGATATAGCACAAACAGGAGCACTGTAAGATAAAATGTACGGTTTAGGCCAGTGCAGATAATATTACCATCAACGTCTTGTGTTACTGACCCTCTTCCATACTTATGTGAGTGAGTTTCAGTCAATCGGGTATGATACCAAGTCCATCATTAGTGAATTGCACATTTTGTTCAATATTAATCACAGGGCCATGCATAACTGGGAATACTCCCAAACAAAGTTTGTTGGATCGCCAATCAAAATTTCCCGAAAGACCAGCTTAGAAAGGATTGACTTCTATTGCCAAGGCAGTGAAAATTTATCATGATATCATGTCTTTGCAGGAGGCTAGTTTGGCATTGAGCCATTTTGAGGCTGACATTGCTAGCCCTGTCGTGGACAAATGGGGAACAGGGTGAGACAACCAAATTAATTTATGCTTATGACCAAATTCAGAATTTGAGACAAAGCCTCTAGAGGTGAAAGGTTAGCGTGTTAACTTATTTCAGCATGTAACCAAAATGCTAACATTAAAATGCATTACTCATTTGGTGTGATAAATTTAATAAATATATATGAGCTCCCCCAGGTTAGTCTGCAGCAGGAAGTTAATATATGCTTTTCAAGTATTTTTCATGTTCCTGTTGATATATGCAGATGGCAACCAGCTACATGACAAGTCTAGAATAGCTGTTTGTGTGATGGAAGGTGAAATCTCAAACAGAGTTTCTAGAGATTTTACAACAAATAGCATATTGAAGACTCAAACACAAACTTTTAAATATAAAATAAATTGATTCCAGATGAAACTTAATTCAGTATATACTGTTCTCCCTGTTCTGCAGGCAGAAGGGAAAGTCATTTAATAGGTGTGCTACATGTGAAGACATAAATTTAGTACTTCAAGTTAAAGTTTCATACCCCAGGTTTAGAGTTCCTTATAGTTTTAAAACCTTTAGAGTTTATAACAGTGATGCATTTGCACTGCTGTAGTTAAAGGGCTTTCAGGGTTACCTTTAATTTCCTATTTACCTGGAAAGCTTGCTTCAGATTTCAGAGTGGTAGCCGTGTTAGTCTGTATTAGCAACAAGAACGAGGAGTACTTGTGGCACCTTAGAGACAAACAAATTTATTTGGGCATAAGCTTTAGATGGTATTTATAATTACAGAATACCAGGTTTCACTTGAACAAAAACAAGCCATTAGATTTCTAATGGTCAGGAGTCATTTTATGCTGTGTATGAAATAAATTTCTCTACTTCTGAAATGAGGGATGGGTGTTACTGCCACATAATTAACAAACTAAAGATAGAATCTGTTTTAGTACTGAATTGTGTACAACAGGGATTTAAAAAAACTTCTAACTTCCATTTAAATGCCTAATATAAAATTGTTAAAAGCTTTGAAGTACGTTAGACATGGAGGAGTTGGTGGTGATGCACAAATGCTCATCTAACAATACTATGCCTGGCTCAGACCAATGCTGTTAGTCACTCTTAACGTTGGGTGGATTAAATTCACTTGTAAATTATTTTGGCTAATTTTTCCCTTCCCAGAAAATACCTAAAACGTGATTGCAACATTTCAGCATGTTAATAGAATGAAAATGTTCAAGCTGAGATGTTTCTCATTGTAGAAGGCCTATTTCTAAAACCTCTTTCCCTTTCTTGTTCTACTGTGCTTGTATTCTTTGAGGAAAATATACTTGTAAATGTGTGAGAAATTGTCTGTTTTCATGTGTTCCCTGTGTTAGACCTGAAGTGTGTTTCAGTAATGAGTGTTACTTCTAATGTTATGGATCAAGCTGCTGAATGAATTCCTGATGTAGTAAGACTTTTGAAAAGAGAAAATTAATGGTCTTTGAGATACTTAAGCACTGCAGTCATGCATAGTCAGCCTAAGTGTACTGTTAGCTTAGTCTTGTACAACTTATGTTTTGTTGAACATTCTGAACTTTGATTGTGGCTTACAAAAAGAAATGTGATGTTCAGAGTTATAGGACTGTTGAAAATAAGGCAAAGTATGTTACTCTTCTGTAAGAAACTGGATTTAATACCTATTCTAGGAAGAAACATCTGAAAAATAGCAATGTATGAATTTATCATTCTAATAATCCTAATGTTATTAGGGCGTAGACTAGAAGAAGAGGGAGTTGAAGATAATGGACTGGAGGAGGATTCTGGAGATGGGCAGGTATGTGAAACCACATTTGAGGTGAAAAAGAATAGTGCTGCATTCAAGTCACAATGACTATTATATATACTTTTTTTCTTTTTACAGGAGGATATTGAAGCAAGTTTGGATAACTTGCAGGATATTGACATGATGGATATTAGTGTGTTAGATGAAGCTGAAATAGATAATG